CGGGGTCGCAGCAGCGCATGTCCTCGCACTACAGCTTCGTCTCGGCTATCCCCTCCGAGTCGTCGATAGCTTCGAAACCCATCCTGCCCGCTAACGAGGCCGGTGCACGAGCACGCAAAGAACGTCCGCGCTTCCGGAATACTGAGTCTGTCCGCGCCATGCAGATGTCGTCGCCGCCGCCCACACTCGCACACCAGACCTCCCAAGAGCGACTCAAAGGCTCCTTCAAGCTGGCTACACCTAGCAGGAGCAGCAGATCAGAGCACGACATGTCGAGACAGTCTACCGGCTCACGGAGAAGGAGCATACGGGAGCCTCATAGTCCGAGACCGACCCCGACACCGCAGCAGGCGCCGCTGGTCCTGTTGCATGTTACCATTCTGCCCATGCAGGTACCGTACTCGCACGACATCATGGCCAGGATCATGCCTGATTGGCTGGTGGAGAACTACAAGCTGCTGGAGGAGAAGCTGCAGGACATCATCCTGATGCGACGCGGCCTTCTCATCCCGCACCCCAGGGACGAGTACGACCTGCTCGAGGAACGCATACTGGAAAGCCTGGAGCTCAGAACACCCCGCCTGCTCCCGTGCGGCCACTTCGTCCCACCCGAGGACGAGGACGAGCGGGAAGACGAGGACGATGTCGCGAGCGTCGGCGACGAGAACACCGGACGGGGCAGTCGCATGAGTGGAGGCACACTGACGGAAGGAAGCAACACCTCCCACAATGGCGACCACAGCATGTGCATAGACTGCCACCGCGAACTCAAGAAGCCCGGCAAAGGCATCGGTGCCGGCACACGGAAATGGGACATCAAGATCTACGCCGCCAACGGTCTGATGCGCGCCGCCGCATGGCAAGCCTGCTGGAACGACATGGAAAGATGCGACGTCGAGATCCACCCCTGGATCCCCGAGGAGGTCCGCAAGACGCTCGAGCGCCGCGCCCAGGAGGAGCAAGAAGCCGACAAGCGCAAGGCACAATACACCGTCGAGCTCCAACGCCAAATCCAAGAAGCCGCCGCCAAGACCAAGATCCTAGAAGAGGAAGCCAACGAGGCGAAGCGCAAGGAGGAAGCCGAACTACAAAAGAGCTTCGAAGAGGCCGCCGCCGCTCTGCAAAGAAGCATCGAAGAGAAAGCAGCTGAGAGGAAGAAGTTCGAAGAGGACCTCCAGCTCAAGCTCAACGAAGCGAAGGAGGCTGTTCGTCTTGAACTCGAAGCCAAAGCCCTTGCTGAATCCGACGCCGTCGCCCAGCGTCTCCGTGCGCTGGAAACTGCTATCAAGGAACAGGAGAGCGCTGAAGCTGCCACACGTCTCTCGGCAGCTCAAATACCGCTCAGCACGCTGCTGAAGAACTACATCATCCTTCTCCTCAGCGACAAGCGCAACTCTATCATCTTGTTACTCGCTGTGGCCGTCGCATACATGGCGATGAACATGCGTGCTGCTCAGCAAGCACCCGCGTCGGCACAGATGCTAGAGCTCCCCACCGAGGTTGCGGCGCCCATGATGAATGCCGTCACGGCTACTATGACTGCGACGAGTTACTCTACATTTACGGTTACGGAGTTTGCCACTGCTACTGCCGTGCCGGTACTTGCTGTTGCGGACCCAGAGATCGAGCCTGCGGCTGAGGAGGTCGAGGCTGAGGTTGAGGTTGAGGTTGAGGTTGTTGTCGAAGAGAAGGCGGAAGAAGAGACATCTACCAGCCCCGTTGTAGACCTCGACATCTTCGACGTCGTTGCGGAGCAGTCTACTCCCCTCGCTGCTGCTGAGGTTGAGGCGAAGACGAACGTCCTTGTCGCTTCCAACCAGACACCCGCTGAAACCTCGTTCTGCGCTTCAGAAGTCGAACCCGTCTTCGAGGCTCCGCTTGCGTACTGCGCTGCGTCTGCTTAGACGCTCTCATACAACCTCTTCCGCCTTCCTCCTCCTCCATCGCCTTCTCCCCACCCCGCATATTCCCTCCTCTTTTCCTTTGTCCTTTGTTATATTTCTCCTTTTCTCTTTTCTATGAAGCTTATAACGCATACCCCTCACGGCCTCTAGCATCTACCTATCTATATGCATGTACATGTGCATTTGCGTTTGCATTTGCATACATACACCATACGATACTATACCATGTCTTTCATGTTTCATGTTCATGACGTAATGTAGCGGTTTCGATTGAAGATATCCCCTTTTCTTGAGCTTTTTTTTTTCTTTATGGTTGTGGTTGGGTTGGGTTGGGTTGGGGTTGAGGTTGAGGCGGAATGGAGTGGGGTTGTTGAGTTGGATAGTTTGGATGTGGATATGGATATGGATATGGATATGGGGAGTATATACCAATTGAATGAGAATGAAGAATGAAGATATGATATGATATCGTTGCGTGGTGCTTGAGCTATGTGTGTTTGAGTTGCTGTGAGAGACTCAATTGGCGGTGTGGACAGTATGGGTAGGATTGATTTCAGTGTAGCCTGGAGGTATTCGACCTAACTTTGAAGTTAATTCGACATGGGAAGGAGCATAGTAGTCCGATAGACTGGTCTTTGTGATTATCAGGTTTGTATCCAATGAAGCTCTGCAAGTATCATCATGCACAAGCACCCATCCTTCAGTCTCCTTGATCCCAATCGAACCCCAACCACCCCCGCTCCCACTCACGCTTCTACCTACTCCTCAGGCTGAATACCCTTCTTCTTCAACTCCTCCCTCTTCCTCCCCGCCCTCCCCTTCGCATCCTCAACCCACGCCTCATAAGCCCCCTCCCCCTCATTTAACTTCGCCCTCGTAACCGCCTTCAGCAGTTCCCCCACAAACCCCACAAAGTTATGCCTCCTCAAACTATTCTCATACAGCCACCTCGCGCGTTTGTCTTCTTGCTCTTCGAGCTCGTCCTCGTCGCCTATCTCCCTCGCCCGGATGCGCAGGTCGCGACAGCAGGCCATGAGGTTGAAGCGGATTTCCGAGGCGGGGTAGCGCGCGATGCGGCGTTGGAGGACGGGGATGATTTTGGCGGGGAAGTCGGTGGGCGTGCAGGGGCCGTGGAGGATGGGCGCGGGTTGGAGGCCGTCGAGTTCGTAGAGTTTGTTGTTTATGGATGTGTAGCTGGGTGGGTGGGTTAGTAGGTGGGCTGTGGGGGAGTGGTGGGGTTATAGACAAGGAAGGGAGGAAGGGGACTTACGCGATAAAGTGGAAGACATCGTCGTCTTCAGTAGCCGTCCTTTGTGTCTCATCTACGAACGGCGAAGACCGCGCGAAGGAGTTGTGGGTTTCGCGGATAAGGTCCGAGTTTGACAGTGTTTCTCCTCGTAGCTATGTCTCTTTATCAGCCCCTCCTATCCAAAGCATAGGTACAGTCCCTGCCTTCACATACCTCTGGCGGAAAGTCGCCAGCAAATTCCTTGAACTCCTTCAGTTCCTTGCCGATATCCACCTCCTCCTCCCTATTCAACAGCAGCGAAACAATCGCCTGTGTACCACACGCATTCTGTATCGTTTGCGCAGGGAAGAAGAGCTTATTCGCCGCCTCGTAGTCGTACGTCCCGTCTTTCGGTACGTCGCTGGGTTTCTCGCCGGTCGGGTACTTGAAGAGGAAGATTACGCCGTAAAGGGTGCCCAGGGCTTGTAGGTCTGAGGGTTCGAGTGTGGTGAGTTCTTCGAACTCTACGCCCTTGACACCGAGCTTCTCGATGAGGTATGTGAAGACACCCTGTTGGGGTTGTTAGTATGCGATTTTCGAGGAAGATAAGGGTGGACTTACGGCATCGGACTCTATGGTGTTCCAGCCTCCCGACATAGTTGCGTAAAGGTAGAGCGGTGTGGTGCGCGAGTGTGTTGTCGATGTGTTTGGACCTACGCCATCGACAGGCGCCGCCGGAATAACTCCTCGGCCCGCGCTTCGGAACGTTCCGATGCCCCACTATGAATTGGAAGTGAACAAGGTCGTCCCATGTGCTGACCCCTCTACCCGGTATCGCTCGTGTTCATGGAATCGTCTTCTCGTGTCACAGAACAAACGTCTTGGCGATGTTGTATAGATGCGGCCACAGCATGGAATCGATGCATCAGCCCTGCAATGAGGTCTACCGTTCCAAAGTTTCACTTCATTCCAATCGTACCTATCCAAGGCTACCTAGGTATGGCTAGCGCAAGGCCGACGGGGCTCCTTACTCACTACTTTCTAGTTCCTTCATATTCCCTTGCGAGATCCCCCTTGTATTGTCTGTATACAGGTAGATCTGCTGTGTACCGGCAGATAGATCGGGAGCACACTCCTCAGCCTGCTTCACGATAAGCTCATGTTGTCACCTGGGCAGGTTCTTTCTCCTTCCAGGACTAGACCTTCATTCCACTCACGTCGTACATCACTTTTCCTTTCGTCCTATTGGCAGCTTTCTCTACTAGTATGCATCGTGAGTGGGACTGTGCTGAACCCTGGTCGGCTTCCCGAGCACGCAATGGAGTTGCAACTTCGCGCGATGGGCGTGGGTAGCGACTACCCAGATACGTCAGAGCGTAAACAGATCCAAAGGTATATCAGCACTGTGAATTTTGCAAAACTCAATTCTCGCACACAACCATGATTCCAATTCGAGTTCTGCTGTTACTTTCCTTAAGTGTTGCCGCTCTTGCTGGGCGCTCTACCAAACCCAACTTCATCTTCATCATTACCGACGATCAAGACTTGCATTTGAACTCGCTAGACTACCAACCTGCTGTGCAGAAGCATTTCGCCCAGGAAGGTACTTGGTTTAAGAAGCATTTCTGCACCGTAGCACTCTGCTGCCCATCACGAGTGTCGCTCTTGACTGGAAAAGCTGCCCATAACACGAATGTCACGGACGTCTCAGCTCCTTACGGTACTTCGAACTTAAAGGAATAAGCTAGAAATTGTACTGACTACTAGCAGGCGGATATCCTAGATTCATTGAAGAAGGTTTTAATGATGCTTATCTTCCTGTGTGGCTTCAGGAGGCGGGCTACAACACATATTACACTGGAAAACTGATGAATGGTCACTCCACCTCTACATACGATGCACCGCGAGCTAGTGGCTGGAACGGTTCTGACTGTAAGCTCAGCATCATTATAGCTCCAGTTTCTAATCACTGACACCCACAGTCTTGATCGACCCCGGAACATACGTCTTCTACAACTCAACCATGACGCGTAACCACGAAGTCTACAGAAACTCACCAGGAGAATACTCAACCGACCTCGTAGCCAACGCCGCAGTCTCCTTCCTAGACGAAGCCATCGCAGCACCAGACCGACCATTCTTCATCGGCGTCGCACCCATAGCCCCCCACTCAGAAACAATCACCAACCCACGCCCCACAAAGTTCAACCTACCCGTCCCCGCAAAGCGACACGAGCATCTCTTCCCCGACGTAAAAGTACCCCGAACGCCAAACTTCAACCCCTCAAAAGTAAGTCAAGCCCGCTTCCCCTCTGCACTGCACACCCCATCTAACACCCCCACCCCCTCAGCCAGGAACAGCATCCTACTTCTCCACCCTGCGCCTGCTCAACGCCTCAGAAATCGCCTACAACGACGCCTGGTACCGCGCACGCCTGCAAACCCTCCAATCCGTCGACGACCTCATCGAGTCCATCATGAACCGTCTGAGCGAAACCCCCGAGGTGCTGGAAAACACTTACTTGATATACACGACCGACAACGGCTTCCACATCAGCCAACACCGGCTCCCACCCGGCAAATCCTGCGGCATAGAAGAAGACATCAATATCCCTTTCTTCATCCGCGGCCCGGGCGTTGCCAAAGGCGCTGTGATGGAGATTCCGAGTAGTCATACGGATATCGTGCCTACGCTGTTTCATCTCGCTAGTATACCAGCCCGGGAGGACTTTGACGGGGAGGTTATTCCTGTTACGGGGGCGATGCAGGAAAAGGGTGGGAAGAGCGAACATGTTAATGTTGAGTTTTGGGGGGAGTATCTTGTGGAGGGGAATACGTTTTATGGGCGAGATGGGTGGGCGGAGAATACGTATAAGACGGTGAGGGTGGTGGGGGAGGAGTATGATTTGAGTTATACGGTTTGGTGTACGAATGAGCGGGAGCTTTATGATATGAAGGTTAGTCTTCTTTTTCTTTGCTTTCTCTCCCTCTCTTTAGTTTGAAGGCTTGGGAATGTAGGCACTGACGAAGAGCACGCAGACCGACCCCTACCAACTCACCAACCTCCTCTCCACACCCAACACACCCAACACATCCACCTCCACCACCATATCCTCCTACCCCATCCTCCCCCTAACCGCCCGCCTCGACGCCCTCCTCCTCACGCTCAAGCGCTGCAAAGGCCGTGTGTGCACGCGACCATGGGAGAAACTGCATCCCGAGGGCAATGTACGTAATCTGAAAGACGCTATGCATGAAAGGTACGATGTGTTTTACTTGGAGAAGCAGAAGAAGGTTAGCTTTGACGAGTGTGCCAAAGGACAGATTTTGAGCGTTGAGGGGCCGCTGGAGCCGGTGAGTTGGAGGGAGGAGTGGGATGAGTGGAGTTGGGGGACGTGAGAGGGGGGAGATGGGGATATTAGAGAGTCGGGGTGGTTGGGTTGGATGGTAGGAGGGTCGGGAAGATTTAAGAGGGTAGCAAAGGGAAGGGAGTGATGTGTCATGAGTGTGATGAATGGACTTTCGCTGAGCATGAAGACCCAAACATCGAAAGGAAAGAAACCCGTCGCTCGCCCAAATCCAATCTCGATGGGACATGCCTCCCTTCTTCGAAGAATCCAGTTTCCACCACATCCAATGACATAACCACTCGTTCATTCGTTCATCCATTCATTCATCCACAGCACAAGCCGCACAAACCACACACCCACCTATCCACCCATCCACCCCAAGCGCCCGGTACCGCCGATGAACATATCCAGCTGAAACCCCCCTCTCCCCCACCTTCACCAGCATGTAACATCGCCCTGCGATCTGAAACACAACACCGGTATCAGGCCACCCAATATTCACGTAAAAAACCCCATAGTCTGTGTGTATCACGCATGCCGAACACCCATGCTGAACGACCATGCATTCACGACTCGCCGAAAAGCGAAGAGAATCCGTGAGTGGTGACTGACTCAGCATACCGGTCGTCGATCACGTGTGGGGTCACTTAATCTATTGAAAGAACCTTGGAATAGCGGACAAGGCTCATCGGCCTGATTACCTGCCAGATGAGTGATATTACGGCCGAGGCCGAATGTTTCAGGTTACGGAGGTATTGCTCACCAACGCAAAACATTGGGTTATGTATCAGGTCACGAAGATGGTTGGCTGGTGTGTAGTATTGGGATTGGCATTGCCTTTAGGCTTATTGGGGTGAATGATAGTTGCAGCGCAGTAGTAGTTGTAGGTAAGGTTCAGACGGGTGGGCTTGCATAGGCAGGCGGGTTTGTAGTGGACGATATATTGGCAATATGGAGGATTGGAGGGGTGAGTACATATGATGTGGTGGTGGTGTGTGTCTGGGATGTGAGATCGACGATACACAGTAGATATGCGTAAATATCAAAACGTTGATCTTGCAATTGGTAGTCGTGCATGTTCGGCCGGTGGATCAAACCCCCCCAAAGCGTTCGGAGGAATTGACAGCTCACATCACAGTGCACGCAATGGCCCGTGAGGGCGGAGAAGAGGAAGTGTCTGTGTGATTTCTCTGTGTCGCCTGCCACACTTGCCGGTAGAAATCGCTTCCGCGCCAATGGTAGCTCAGGGTGCGACGCTTTTTATAGCTCTGGGCCGACGGGTGGAGAGGGATGCTTTGCATGGTCGTGCAGGTGCAAAGTGTGGCTTGCAGATGGCTGGGGAATGTGTATTGCGCGCCGCGCTGAAAACTCGACATTTTGTGTCAAAACTTGCATTTGGTAACCGGCTTGGCTGCGATGTCTTGTTGTCGTGTGACTGCCGGTGTGGTGTCGCGACATGAAGCCTCTTCAGACGTCATAAAATATATGTATAGTAACGTTCGGATGTTTTTTGTGGTTGCTGAATCGCTGAGTCGGTTAGTAGTGCGCTGGCTTAGTGTACGCTGGAGCTATGCTGAGGCTACGCTGAAAAGGCGAATAGGCCATCGGAAAAGACCGATGCGACGATGGACGAAAGATGCGAGTGGAGAGGTGTCTTGTAACCCTAGTCGCAGAACCCCAGAGAAAACATGGCTGCATGGGTAGCCCTAGATGCATGGTCGGCTGCAAACTCCCAGGGTAAAAGGACCTTAATCCTAAGAATAGCCACCACGGATCTATGACAACCAAACACCAGCTCGACGTAGGCGTGTGGCTGAAGGAAGACTAGCCTGCGAATACACATGTTGTCGCATGAACCTGCTTTCGCGCATTCCGCTATGTCATCTAGTAGAGTTTTAGCCTCGGTGGTTGCAAGAGGTAGCTGGTAGGTAGGCGACGGGTGCCGCCGCGATGCCACTGGTTCCTGGTTTAGAACTCGTATCTCGTGGCAGCTACTTGTGCTCCACCACGCGACGGTCGCGACGGTATCGCGCGTATAGACAACGTCATAGGTACAGCCCTATGGGATGTCGGCGACGAAATCGCAGCTGCTGTGACGATATCTCGATATGTGGATGCAGGCTGTTGTGTCAGGCGCCCACCAGCAGGGTCGCGTAATTACTCAGTTACTGTATAGGCCCCGCCAGCAAGCATTCTCCGCTGCATGAGATATTGCCAGCGGGGGAAGTTCCTAGGTTGTTTACCCAGTGATGCGATGGCCTTTCGCGATGCCACAGGCGAAGTCACCCACTCGTGGCACTCGTCGGAGCGGAAGTCACGCTTAATCATCGCGCGGCGCCCTTCCGTCGATAGCGGAGACAGGAATAGAGCGAGGTCCGCCGCCACTGCTCGGCGCAACTGGATGCGAAGGAGCGGTATGAGGATAGCGGCGTGAGGATGGGCCAGCGTAGTATCGATGGAAAATCAGCGCGATGAAAGTGTAGACCCTTTTTGCGTGCGGTCTGGTGACAGGTGACGCACGGAGGGCTATTTTTGACCGCGAGATATTGAGGGCCCCGGCTTCCGCAGTGTTTAGCGATCGCTGGTGGCATCGCATCAGCAACGTCAGTCTGATTCGACCGACGTCGCTGGCAGCGTCCAGCTTCGCATTTCGCGTTGATGAGATGTCGGGCATCCATGTCGCCCGTGGTCGCCCGTCACGCCCGTCACGCGTGGGCGCTGCCACCTCACTCAGGGCTCTGGAGCTGTCTGAAAAATTAGCAGCGCGCGCGCCCCGAAGCTGACCCGGCGAGCAAGCATGGCGGCCTCCTTCACCCACTATTCCGCAGGCGGCTTCCAACTACCCGTTACAGCATGGCCAGCGAGCTATCCAGGTGCTACTGGTCGATCGTTCTCCACGCACGGCCCGCGCAGCTGTTGGCGTTTCCTCGGTCGTCGGACCTGAATGGCCGTTTTTCACGCCTCTTGCGCTCTGAGCCCGAGCCCCAGCTGGAGCGGCTCATGCACCTGCACGCTCAAACGTCTCCGTCCCAAGCGGATTGACAGGGGCTTTGACCAGAGGGCCACCAAAGGCTGCTTTCTGCGACATGGCCGTCGGCGAACTAGCACCTTCACACTGCACCCTAGCCCTGGGCTCAACCCTCGCCCGACAGGGGCCGCTTCATTCATCCAAACACGTCCATCGTCTTTGAGGGACGCCGTGCTGCATGTCTGAAAGCGCCCTGCCGACTGCGAGGGTTCATGGCTCGCTGGAACCTTAATCCCCACGGGAGTTACACCGGGGCTATGTCATACGAGCAGGAGCCAGCCGGTGCCATCTGGCAATCAGTCACTCCATCGTCTGTAGCTCCCGCAAGCTTCTCTGCCCTCCCTGCTAGCCTCTCCCGTCTCGCGGGCTGCCACCCAAGTCTCTCTTCCGCCGCTCGTGGCGTCACTGCTATTTGTGTGGACGCTACCTCAGGCTAACCCTACCTGGCCCCGTTTCTCGACGTTTGTCGTCTTTGGGACCGAGCACAAGTCACCCTGCGCTTTTGCCCGCATACCACCCAAGTCCCTTCTTCAGCCTGGCGAGCCTCTAGTCCATAGCCTTGTCCTCATCCTGCATGGTCATTGTGCAGGGGGTAGGTTGCAGACGAGCTTGACCACTTCCGCTGTCACGTCGTCCTGTCGTACCCTCTTAGCCTGTCCGCCGGAGGTATTGCTGGCCTTGCGTCAATATCTCTCCAGCCCTAGAGCTATCTAAGCTCATCCCATCTGCACTCTGCACTATATATCACCAGAACGCCCACGAACAGCCTCCAAATCACCACCCTGTCCAATTTAGTCACCGGTTTCGACCCCATTACCCTCGCTTTATCAACCGCTCGCCAGATCTACCGCCCGCATATACACAGCCCCTCGTCTATCCCACCTTCCCGTCCATCTCGCATACCACACAACAAGAGAACACTGCCTGCGACTGATCCTGTGCCCTGACGTGCTACCACGACCACGCCGTACGGTCCACTTCCCACTCTCGCTAAACTACTTCATCTTCCTCTTGAAAAATGGCTGGTCCCGGTGGAGGCCCTTCAAGGCGCAGCCATACCAAGTCCCGAAAGGGCTGCAAGACGTGCAAGAGGCGGCATATTCGCTGTGATGAAACATTCCCGCAATGGTAAGCACCAACATCTCTTTGTCCACGACTCATGTACTAACATTTCCCAGCCGCAACTGCACCAAGCACCAGGTTCGCTGCGACTACATGGACAGTCCAACTGCCATGATGCCAGAGTCTCCCCAGTCTCCTCAGCAGCCCAACCTGCTCTGGACGCCCGAGATCGAGGCCACTATCGAACTCTGGAGACAGACGGGAGAGTTCCCTTTCCCCGAGCTCCGAGTATACCCACAGCCGCAATGGCGCGCCTTGACGACGGTTGACCTCCGTCTGGTGCACCATCTTGCCTCTATCTCGAATGAGATGTTCAGAAATAGGACTTCGAAATCGACCCTCTGGACCGACATGATGCCCAAGTACGCACCTACCACCCCAAGCGACTACGCCCAAAAGCAACACTAACGTTTCTAGATTCTTGAGCATAGCCGCAACCCATCCATTCGTTATGCACAGCATCCTCGCCTTCTCTGCCTCGCACTTGGCCTGGATCTCTCAATCAACCGAAACCCGAAACCTCGCATTCCATCACGCAAGTCTTGCTCTCAAGGGCTTGCACGACGGCATCACCAACTTTACCAAGCACAACTCAGATGCTGTACTTGCGGCGTCTCTCCTGCTTGCATGGCAGGCGACAGACTGGTAAGGACTACCCGAATATATTGGGGTAATCAAAACTGACGCAGTCATTTAGGCGAGGCTGGGCTTCTCTAGTCACAGGCACGAAGACTGTAATTCAATCCATGCAACCCTGGAGACATGAGTCTCTGTTCGCCGACTACATCGCAGAGCACACGCCTATGCCAAACCGACACTTTATGAACCCGATCAGTACCCCGATATCGCCAGAAGCACGAAGAGAGCACATGAACGCCCTGGTCGATATCCACGCCTCC